CCTCAGAACCCGGCGCCCTCGCCCGTTTCTGCTGCTGCTGCTGATCCTGCCGCTGTTGTGGCAGTAGCAGCTCATCTCCTGCAACAAGAGGAGCCCTACCCCAGCATATTCTCAGTTTGTTCTGTTCCTTCTGCTGTTTGGGGAAAGCAGCACATCCGAAGGGGCACCTCCACGCGCTGCAGCAGCTGCAGCAGGAGACGCTCCCTCGTCTGCCCGTTGCTGTTGCCGCCGCTGCTGCTGGAGCCGAATGCGTCTGCCGGAAGTGCTGCAGCAGCGGAGGATCCGACGCAGCCCTAGCCACAGTCTCCTGCAGTCCCCTTGCGCTGTCCTGCGGCTTGAAAGACAGCCAGCTTGTCTGCACAGCCGGATCCGACGGGGCTTTCCTCGCATGCTGCAAGCTGCTGCAGCTGACAGAAGGAGACAAGAGAGAAATGCGAGAGGCGGAAAAAGGAGAGGAATCGCCACCTGAAGATGTGACGGAAGTAGGAGACGGATCGTCCAGGAAGTTCATTGATGGAGCAGACACCGCACGCATCAGACCTAAACGCAAACAAAAGTAGTGGCAAGTACAAATACAACTAAAACGCAAATGCACATACAAAGCAGATACAACTACAGATCTCCAAGTACAAACACAAATACTGAAGAGAGACAGAAACCCGCACAAGTGGGACACGCAGAGGAGAGAGGACTACCACAAACGCAAAACAAGCGAAGAGACGGAGGCAGCAACGTAGATGAACGAAAGCATCACAACGGTAGGAAAATGTGCAAGCAAACACGAACACACGCTGAGGCTGCCCAGCCGGGTGGAATTTGGAGGACGGCAAAAGGCAACCATATTTGGAAATGCAGGCAGCAGATGAGAAACAAGCAAAAAGGCAAAGACGGAGACACGAACGGGAGACAGATGGGGGGAGGCAGGATGGGGACTGCACACCACAGGCACCGCGCGTGACAGCAAAATCAGCTGGACAAAGAGAAAGAACAAACGCCAGCCCCAGCAGCACCAACTGCCGTATGCAACATGTGACAGTTGGCTTTGTTGCGGCCACTGCTGTCTCACGGCGTCTCTCTTCTCGAAAGCATTGCTGCAGCCAGGGGTGTTTGAGCATGCGTTCTGCGGTAGGCTGTCCGTACGGGGGAGGAGGCGGAGGCCCCCTGAGATGCAGCGGCAGCAGAGGGTTGTAAAGGAGGGCCCTCAAGAAGCCCAAACAGGGCAGAGACAGACTGGGCCAAACGCCCCCGTTGAAGGAGACCGGTGTGTCTGTAATCTGCGCAGAAGCCGAATGGGGCACTCCTCGAAGGTATTCAAGATAATGCATTTCATGTGTAGTACTAGAACGTTTGTTTTTGTCGAATGGCTATATTTATGTATAACGTCGCACGATACGTATGCATGCATGCATGCAAAAGCTGCACCCATTCATGGGCCTTGTCAAAAATAAAAGTGAGTACTGGGATGTCTGGCTGCTAGTCCATGAACGTGATTTTCGTCTGCGTGTTTGTCTCCCCCTGTGTTTCTCCGGTGGATTGTGTGCATTCCTGTGCATGCACGTACAGTACAGGCAGCCGACTGTACAGAAGTCTGCTGCCACCGCAACCCTTGAAACCTGTGCGGTTAACCCCGTCACAGTCAGGTCTGCTGCGCTTGTTGTGCTTCTGTGGAATTTAACGCCTAGGGTTTCAAGCTGGATGATGCATTCTAGTGGACAAACAAGCAGAGAGCCACTGCCCTCTGTTTCGTATGTTCTCAAGTCCAAATGAAACTTCATTTTGGAATTACTTACGGCTCGATCGATGGACGCTTTGTCGTCACCGTTGAAAGGCGGATAGCCCGAAAAAAGAATAAAAAGAGCGACGCCCAACGCCCACAAGTCGCTGCGCTCGTCCCCCTCCACCCCGTGCAGAATCTGCCAGGGGGAGCGGTAGTACAGCGTGCCTTCTACACACAAGCTGGGGCACACCTGCGACACCCGCCAACATAATCAGAAGCCAGCCATACTATGGAACACCACACGCAGCAGAGAACCGTTGGCAAAAAAGGAAAGCTGCAAAGGCCCCACAGCAGCAGAGTTGGACGGCCCAACAGAACAGAAAATCAAGGCAAGTCTCTCACGACAAACCCTGAATGACCCTCTGTCTTCCTGTTCCCAGCGGGCAGGCAGACAAGCATAAACCACAGCGGAAGGCGTACACGAATATGGCCGCAGAGGACACAGACAGAAGAACCGGAGAAGAGAAATGACAGCAAAGCTACAGAAAGAAATGCAGAAACGAAGACATCACAGAAAAAAAGAGGAGAACGAGACAAACACAGCCGAAAAAAAGCACCACCACCAACCTCCAGCTGCAGCGAAAGAGACAAATACAACGAAGGAAAGACAGAAGCACAATATAGCCACCGACGGAGGCATAGAACCAGAGGTAGAGAGAGTGAGAGGAAAAAACAAGATGGCCAAAGATGACAGGTGAGGAGAGACAGAAAGCCCAGCGCAGATCACAAGCCTTACCTTCTGTCTCGGCCTGCCTCGTACGATCTTCTTTGCAAGTCCAAAGTCTGCGAGTTTTACAGTAATATTTTTCCTTCGAAATTTGCCGACAAGAGAATGCGTGGAATCGCTGGGACTGTCTCTGGCAACAGGTAGCGACAAGTTCCTGCTGCTCCTGTCTATCGCTTTGCCTCTGTCTCTCTCTCTTGTTTTGTCTGTCTCCTTGTCTCTACCTATGGGTTCACTGCGCTCGCCATCTCCGCCTCCTAAGCCGCGCCGCTTTCGCAGCACCATCGGTACCACCGACAAAGCATTCAAGCTGCTGCTGCTGTTGATGCTGCTGCTGCTGTTGTGGCCAGTTTGTCGCCGCAGGCTAGGGCGCGCCCTACTGTTTGCGCAGGTGTTTCTTTCCTGTTCCTGCTGCAGTAGCTGCTGCTGTTGCAGCTCCAGCTCTTGCTGCTGCATGAGCGCTGCTTCTTCTTCCTCGCTGCTCGCGCCATCTCCTGTCGCTTCGGAGTCATCTAATTCCGCTGCCAGCAGAATGTTCTCGAGTTTTATGTCGCAGTGTGCTATTTCCCTGCTGTGTAAATAACGCAGTGCACACAGCATCTGCCCTGCTATTTGTGATGCCATCTCTTCGCTCACCAGAGGCCGACCGCCTGCTGCTGCTCCTGCTGCTCCTGCTGCT